TCTTTTCAGGCTCTGAGGAAGGCGACATCGCCGAAACGTCAGCCAATAAAGTTTTATAACAACCTCGTGAGAGTTGAACACAGAATTATACAAAGCTCAATCATGCCGAGGTTCATTGAAGACTGTACGTGGAGATTACTACACATGTGTTAGTAGTTTAACAATGTATACTTACTATCACCTGTGTGACCAGCTCCGTGGTGAATGCTTACAATATATAACGGATTTCATCAACATCAACTTTATTGGGAGCAAGAAAACAAAATAGCAAGGGTTCCTGTTGAATCCAGTCCACCCCACATTGAAGGCTAAGCAGTCACTTAATGCTTTTGGCATTCTATACACAGGTAGCATATGGTGAGCCCCCTTGAAAGCCTAATCCTCTCAAAAATATCTTCTAATAAATTAGCGTTCAAAACTGGTGAATACAAGTCAAGCGAGACTGGCGCATGGCGGAGCATCTCGGTCAACGTAGTAGGACAGTCGCTCTGCTCGCCTTCTTCATTCGGTCTCAACAGTCATGTCACCTGAAATTCGGGTATCGAAACTATATGCATATTTAGTCTTGCTTAAGCGAAATTTCATACGGGGATGTATTCTTTTTGTATGCGAGTAACTTTAGGTGAACTTTTTCGATGTCAAGTTGACAAAGAGATAAAGAAATGGACCACCATGCAAGAGAAGAAGTAGAGAAAGAAGAGTTTAATTGCTAGCAAAATGGTAAAGCTGGTTAGGGGTGAACTCAGGCTATATCCAGCATCAAGCGGCAGTGGTTTCGCGGCAATTCCATTTCCGGCAATCTTCTACTGGGAATTCAAATCTTCTACTTCAGAGCGCGCCAACGCGCGCGATCGGTCGCGGCCAGCGCGGCGCGCCGCCGGATGCAAGAACCGCCGTGCTGGTTGTAAGTTGCGAGCCAGTACTGGAAAAGAAGTTTTGAAATTTCGTTGCACCGCAGATACTGGAAGACCACAATAAGTATTAGAAAATATCGAATTTTTAGGAGAGATTACTGGTGGGAAGTCGGTATAGGAAGGGGTAAGTAGGTGATACTACACGAGAAGGTCGCATGGTGTTGTACATGTCTGAGGGTCAAGGAATTCCCTCCAAAAATCCCAATTTTCTGGGATTCGTGCAGACTGCAACTAAACTCGAATCCGCGATGATTCCTCAAACGAACAGCAACTACTCATCACCCCCTTTCTGAATTTTCGGCCACCTGGCGAGAGCTGTGCGCTAGTGAACACATGGCAAAAACTGGAGGATATGAAGACTAATGTGTCACACCCGAATCATTTAGCTCATACGCGGGAAGAACCCAGGCATATTACACGGGCGAGATGTCGAGGCACACAGATAGCCAATTGTTAAACTGCTCTTGCGGTGTGTCCCCTCAAAAACAGCAAAGGTGTATTTTCATGCGACAGGTGAACCGAGCGGCCAACACGACATGCCTATGGCATAGGAAGGATGACGAGTAAGCAACGTCAGCGTTCCACCCTGGGGTATCCACATGGAAGAATTTCACATCCATTCGGAGTTAGAGGGGCTTATAAAAAAGTTTTGTCTAATAGGGTAGAGTAGACTATGCAGTACTTAAACAAAAACATTTACCAGTTTAGTGAAGGTAGTTAAAATGATGGCCATTAGAACAAGGAATTTGATTGAGATAGGACGCGATTTTTAGAACAGTGCTGGTATGAAGAGGTATCAAGTTACCGCTTTACCATGGAGAATGAACATAGTCAACAGGGCTGGATACCCCCTCCTACAAACTATCGCAAGCCGTTCGGGAAAAGCTGCCTTTTCATGCTAGAAACGCAAAAGAACAAAGCTAAGTTGGAATAAAATGACTCACGTCTACTGCTGAATGATCCGGACCAGACTCTCGTAGTATGCAGTCATATTTGGTACTTGATAAGTTAGCAGTAACTTTGAATACTTTTCTCGTTCTCGGGTGGCCTCAATTTCAGCCAGGATCTCTCGTTGTGACTTCTTCTTCTTCATATTCTTCTCCATCGGCACTTGATGGACTCTTCCATTGACTTCAACATTCTCCTCTTCTGAACGTGGCTCCGATTCCTCGACGGGTCGTTGTTGCCATGTCTCCGTTGGTGCTACAGCTTCCGAACAAGTCCGCTCATCTTCATTTTGGGGGTGCTGATCAATCTTCGGGGCTAACCAGCGAATATAACCAACCAGAGCAGCAATACAACCGGCGACGATGAATGGATGAATTAGTGTGATGTAGAATGCTGTTAGTAGGGCGATCAAGAAGGCGATTTCAGCTGAATTCATTGTTCAGCATAGAAGACTAGCGAACTCATTCACGCAACTGAAACAGCAAGCGTACGGCTGTTCTGTCGTAGCCGGCCGGAATCATTTGCACTTGATCGATTTGTGTCGCTTTTTCAGAAAAAAAACTTTTTGAAAAATGTTTGCACTCTTAACGACAGCAAGTTATTCTTTTTATACTTGATTAAGAGGAACTCTGCAGAAGCCTCTCTTTTATTTTTTGTTTCTTCTAGGTGTTATATAGTGCGGAGGTGGTGTAGTGGCAAGTGGCGCATTATCACACATGCATGGCTTCGGGCTCGAATCTGGATCGATACTCGGCAAGGCCAACCAAGCCATCCAGCCCTACGGGTTTGGATATGCGGTACCAGACTCGTCTGGGAGGATAAAAGCACTGACTTGAAGGTCGGCTGGCCACCACAAGTCATTGTAAACCTAAAAATGAGATCGAATAACGCCAAAAACTTTAATCTTGAGTTTTTTTTATTGTTATTATACGGCGTAATAAAAATCGTAATAACAATTCAACGGAGTGAATAGCTCTAGGAATATATATAGAATGTTTGGGAAAAGGTTTCCGTAAAGCACAGCTCACAATTTTCCTTCATTCGGAAGACAGATCCAAAAGCGGTGAGCCACACTTCGTAACCACTCTTACATAATGTTGAATACAGGTTTTCAATAAGACCTCCGCATTACAAGTACAAGACGAACGTAAATCATAGCATCCTAAAAATCCTATAAAAAAGTAGAGAAACCCTGAAAACAGAATTCTAATAAAATCTAATAAAAATCCTGAAAAGGCATTGAAGAAACGGAGTATTTACGCACCCAAGGAATTGTGAGAGAGTTCTCAAAATATGCATTAGGACTCTGGAAGTACTCGCTCATCAAGGACTCACTCTATGGGTGTCTACCCCTTAGCTTATTAACACTTCTAATTGTAAGCTACCTCCTCTCGTCACTAGAGTTCTTCAACTTCAGAGTTCAGTTATCCGTTGAAATTTACCAAGTTTACGAGATGATAGAGTTCATATTCTATTTTTCAAACTCACGGGTAAGCAGACTCTAATTCTGCTCCTGGTAGAATCAGAGAGGATTCGTCCACTCATTATTTCAAGGGGTTTTGTCCCGAGTTTCTCGGTAAAAGAACCGTACCCCAGTGACCATAGAGAAAGTAGTTGCGATAAAGGCAGCAATACCTCTCTGTAACTTTAAACTTTTTAGTTTCAATTTCTTCGCTTTAACTCTTCTCCCTCATAGTATAGGTACAGTTGGTTCCAAAGGACCACAACTGAACTGCATCGATCTCGATCAATTCTCCAAAAGTGGTCATCGATAATGAGCGCGAAAATCACCTTGCTGCTGTCTTCTGGTGCATTTTTCGATATTTATAATTCTATTTTTTTTCATATTATATATGTATATGTTACTGTATTATTTCATTCTTATCATCATATTGTTTATTTGCACACTGCTAGTTTCCAAGTTCAGTTGTTGTTTTGAAGTTTTTGCCTATAAAGTTTAACAGTCCAGTTTTTCACGACTAATAACTAAGGCTGAAAGGCGTCAAAGCTCCTGGTTGTGTCAGTATCTCTGACAGCTTTGCGATACCTTCTTGCTTGTATTTTGCAAGTGCTCTTGCAAGTTTCTCCAGCCAAGGTATTTTCTAAGATGAAAACTGCACAAACGTTTAATCTTTAAAGGTAATTATCAGGCTATAATCTCTGCTCTTACTCATATCGACTGGAACAACTTGAATAATACATCTGCTGATTCAAATTCATTTTACAACAAATTCTTAGATATATGTCATCAGTTGATCTCCCAGCATGTGCCTACGAAACTGCATAAGAGAAGGACTGTGAAGTATCCCAAGCGTGTATATTACCTGATGGCAAAGATCAAGCACCTCAACTCAGCCTTATCAGCGCAAAACTCGAGATCCATCACGGTCGCTCGTAAACTTAAACGTGCACTGCTTCGTCATCAGGTGATGGAGGAAATGAAATTAGGCCGGCTCAAAAATACCAAGCTTTTCTTCAACTACTGCAGAAAAAAGCTAAAGTCGGCCGATAATATACCGAATATAGTCTCATCAGAGGGAATTTCAATTGAAGATGATCTATCCAAAGCTAATCTTTTTGCCAGCTATTTTCAGTCAGTCTATAAGGAGCCTCTCGTATCGAACATTACTCTCCCTCCATTAACTTCGGATTCTCTGGATTGGGTTGACGTTTCCAGTGACATTGTTTACAGCGTACTGCGGCGTCTACCTAACAGAGTATCCACTTCTCCCGATCAAATCCCATACATATTTTTGAAAAATGCTGCCCTTGGGCTCGCTGCTCCTCTAGCAATATTATTCAACAGAATTTTGCTTCATGGCGATGTTCCTGATTTATGGAAAGTTGGACTTGTCAAACCGATTTTCAAAAAAGGTTGTAAAAGCGATGTTGCTAACTACAGGCCGATCTGCTTGACTAGTTCTATTAGCAAGGTCATGGAACGCCTAATATGNTTCTATTTCATTTTAATAGGATATGATACATTACTCTATTCTATTGTAACTCTGACGATAGTCTGAACCATACCGTTTGTATGTCACTTCAACAATAGCTCAATAAATAAATAAATAATCAGGAAAACATTATGGGTGCAGCGTTAGCCAGAAGTGCTCACTTCAATAGTAAGAACTTGAGTCTGTGCAATGCGAAATTTTATATCGTGCTGTGGAAGCTGATTGAGACATCTCATTCAGCTTGTGGGCCCTTTTTGGAGCAAATGGCATTAAATGTAGTTGTGAGCATTAAAAGCATTTTGTAAAAGAACCCTCAGACTTGAATTTTTCTTTTTATGAGTACCAGAAATTCTGGAACTGACTTGACCATCGAGTTGGTAAGGCCGCTCGGATTCAAATATGATTGCAAGAATTAGCCATTATGAAGCCTATGTGTACTAGCCGTATATGGCTACAGGGAAACTTTACAAGAGAGGACGGTAGGAATATTAGGTGAAAGTTCATACATTTTAGAAAACAGAGTCGTATCGGCAGTTTTATCAACGAAAGGAAGGAAAAAACTAAAAGTCAAAGAGTTGACGGTGAGATTCATGACTGTAATGGCTGGAATCGCCCCATTGCCGACTGGGCTATTTTGCTAGAAAATGCACTCTCTTTATAGGACATGTTAGGTTGATACAATAGAAGATGAAAATGCTTAACAAAGCATGCTCAAATAATCATTTCGGAAGGTATCCACCACCTACGTCAAGCACTGCTTCCCATTTACTAGGCAGTCGGATTTCACAAGTAAAAGAGTTCCGATTCTTGGAGGCGATCCATGCCTTGACGTCGGCCATCAAGTCATTCATTTCGTCGGAAGTTCTGTTCGCTAGCCATCTTTTCAACGGATGGTTGACATGATAGTTCATAGGAGTTCCTATTGGTTAATAGGGCGAAACTAGAAGCAGACTCCATTCCTTATTCAACTTTGACTGACTGTTCCATCGCTGAGATGTTCGTTGAGATCTTTTTATGACTGTCTAATTTCCCAACCTTTCTCGAAGTAGTAGGGCGTAATGTGGGTTATATGGGATGACTTTTTAGACATATTCTGTTAAGGGAAGAAGGATGAATATTTCTATTGAATCCTGAATTCAATTTTCAAATTATATCGAGAGAAAAGAGTAGGCGAAAAAATCTGCAATAATTATGCATAAACGTGGACACTGTACACGAAGAGTGGATGTCATTCTCCTGGCCACAACTACGTAAAATGCTTCCAATTTTAAAATGAAAATTATGCTGCTGTAATATATGTGCCACGCAGGTGCTCGATCCCGATCTCGGCCTCGAGATCGGGGCATCGAGTACCGGGGAATACGTGGTATCCCGAGGTGAAGTGGCCCGCGGACCATTGCATCTGACCCGACCTCAGTCCTGGTATATATAGCTGGCTCTCTCCTAAGTGCTAAGTTAAGATTCGTTCACATTCGCATTATTGCCCTGTTTTATCATTGCATTTACTCTCTTTGTCTTTGTAATTCGTTTCTCATTGTTTTCGCATTGTTTGATAAAAGTATCGTTCTTACTCGTTTTAATAGTCATGATAATACGCAAGTGAAGAAACTTCATCGGGCTCGATTGTAACCGTAAATATCCACTAGACGTATAATTTACACTGCTATGATATCAGAGGTTTTTATTCTGATCCGTCTACCGCTATCAAACAGACGGTTATTGAAAAGATTTGGAGGCTTTCTTTCCCTAGAAATCCTTCTCATCGCGCGCCCTCCATGGTTTGTGAGGATTTTTTTTTGCTTCCTGTAAATATGTATAGAATGTAACCACAATGTAAAGTTGTAAACAGACTTCGATTGTTGTGTATCATTATTCGCTTTGTTATACTATCTATTGCATATCTGCCTATTACCTCTTGTTTCCCACAACTCAAATTTCGCAACTACCAAAACAGATTTCCTGCGCGCGAAGCTGCCGGCCAGAGCCCTCACTTATCTGTGTTTATATGGATATCTTACTCTCTTGTACTCAGCCTATCTCTCTAATCTCCACTTTCCCAGGGCCACACATATAAATACCGGTCACATCTCCTAGAATGGCTTTTCGGGATCATCAGAGGATTCTGCTGATCAATCGCCCACTTCTGTGCTGCTCTGTGCTTCTGAAGAAGAATGAAGTGTGAGTCATTATTCTCTGCCGAACCATAAGGAAGGGACCTTGTCCCTGGACATCTGAAAAGGGGATCCGAGACGGAAACCCAAAAGGGGCAAACGAACCGCGAACCCTTTACATTTCGACATTTTGTGCAAGACTTGTTTCAGCCCACTACGATGACATTCTCTTGGAAATCGAGAGGTGCTATAAGAGTAATAGCTCGGCAACATCGCAAGATGTTGCAAATCGCCTCAGGACTCACCGTATTGTTGTGGGTACATCGCATATCAGGAGGCTTCGACACCGTATAAGGTTCAAAAAGACGACA